ATCCTCACTTTCCCAAGACACAGTAACGTTAACATGTATGTTTGGGTTGAATTTATATTTGCAGTTCGGAGTATCAAAAGAAAGCAAAGGAAGAAGCTCAAAGAGTTGCAATGGAAGAAGCTGTTGTCCGCAGGTCTAGCCGCTTCGAGGCCCTACCAAGACCATCAAGAGATGATCCCGCCCTTGCTTTCTTGAAGTACATCAATAAGTGGAATACCACTAGACTGTAGAAGACTGCACTTTTTGCTTTATTTGATGCCACATCTAAAAGTAACCTTCTCTAGTCAACGTGACCATGATAGGAATGAAGAATTCAGTCCTATAGCAATGACTTTTAAACAGGAAAAACTCAATTTTGTAGATCATGCTTATGGGGCTAGTTTTAGGTGTTACAGTATTACTTATTATGCCCGGCCGAAGAAGATAATTTCTCATGTATTTGTCCTTTTTACCCGAGCAGATAATAGACAGTTGTTTTAAGTTTTACAAAAAAAAAATGTTTGGTAAACACATTTTACGAGCTTCTACCATTTCAAGGTGTTTGGTCTACATACACCAAACTACCAAAGGGCTCTTCTTGGAAAAATCACAAATTGTAGTTCCTACAAGTTAAATAACCTATTATGGTGCTCAAGTATGTAGTACTCGTACTTTAATAGTTGCACCATTGAAATTTTTACATTATTTACCTATCTTACTTTGACTACGATTTTTTACGAATATAAAATTAAATTATTATGTATAAAATGTTGTTGAGGTTAATTCGTACGGGTTCCAAAGGCCCAACACAACCCTTTAGTTATGACTAATATGCTACTAGTATGTAAGCAAAGGAAATGAGAAAGATGGTTCACAGACAAAATGGTTCAGTAGCCCAACTGTATTGTTATATGAATGCGGTTTACAGGGAAATGGCCGAACGAGAGTTCCGGACCAGTTTCTAAACAAGAGCTAGAGAATGATATATTACTAGTGAGTATTAAAATGCTAACCCTTTACTATGGAATAAATGTTACTCTCTCCATCCTATTGTACTTTGTCAATTTTCCTTTTTTGTTGTCCCAAAAAAATTTGTCACTTTTCTATTAAAGCAACTACTTTGTGGTTCTACACATTTCTCTCCTCTACACAAATCTCAATCATACAGTTTTTACTATTCTTATTTCTCACCTACTTTGCACTTGGCAAAGTCCACCGGGACGGAGGTAATACTATTTATACTACTCATGGACTCGGGCCGAACCTTCGGTTTATAATATGTAGGCCCGGGACCGGCCCGAGATAAGAACAGTTCCGGTGCGGGCTGGGCCACCCACCCGGGTCACAGGTCGGGCCACCCGCCGGGCCGGGTAATTTTTTTTATACTTTATAGTTTTATACAAGTATTAAAAATAAATTTCAAGTGCATTTATTTGAAATGAAATAGGAACTGCATTTGACAATTGAGAAAAAAATACAATATGAAATACATTTTGTAATCAATCGGAATTTTCCGGTCCTTTGGCTTTGTCACATGACTTAATATGCTTCTTGGTCATCCCGTATTCGCGTGAAACCCCCAAGCTACACTTTTTCCCGCACCATTTGCAAGTTGCGTACCACATCCCGGTCCTCGGGTCCTTCTGCGTATAAAAATTATACGCGATAACGGCATATTGACTTTTCATCTGAAAAATGGTAGATATAATAATTCTATAAATACTAGAATAGATGGAGATGAAAATGGAGAATGGAGATTGGAGAAGATTTGTATACAAATGTTAGAAAATAGGAGTAATTATAGAAATTTTTGTACCCCCCACCCCCACCCCCGGGACACCCTTGATTCAAGCACCCAATTGCTATATAGCCGTTTGGGGCCTTGAGGCTTGAGCCTTTGATTTCAATTTTTTTTTTGTTTATTTTAGTTTGAATAAATTACATAATGTAAAATTAATTAATTAATTTAATGAATTAAGTAAAGTTATTTTTACTTAGAAACTAAGAAAAGTAGTGTGATTTAGAATTTACAAATGTCACAAAATATGTGTATTTATACAAATTACATATTGTAAACCTAATTTTAATTTAAAAACAGCTTTAGACAAAATAAATTGTAAGTTGTAACCAATTAATTTGAGAAGTGCTGCATATAAAAAAATTAACGTATATTTATTTGAAATATGAACTACAAGTTTACAAGTTACAATTGAGAATTGAAGGAAAAATTAAAATATGAAATACTAATCAATCGGAATCTCCGGCATAGGTAGAGCCACCATCGGTTGTTGATTCATCCATAAAGTGTTGGCATGGGGTGATGGCAATTTTTTGAGCTCTACGGGACGCCTTCAACCAATCGTGGTAGCATATAAGCGTCTCAAGAGATTCTGCGCTCAACCTCGTTCTAGATTGCGTTTGGACATTGCTGGCCGAACTAAATTCTTGTTCCACGACAACTGTTGAAACCGGCATTGATAGCACTTGCTTAGCCATCTTTGCTAAAATCGGGAACATTCTTTCTTTTCCCTTCCACCAGTTTAGAACGTCAAATTTATCATCTTCTTCAAAATCAATATCATATGTTAAATACAAAGAAATCTCATTAATTGTGCTTTGTTGAGTAGCGGGAATTGTTTTAGTTTTTTTTTTTTTTTTTTTTTTTTTTGAGTAGCGGGAATTGTTTTAGTGTTTTTAATAAGATTGACAAATGTAGATTTGAAAATTGATTTTCCTTTAGATGAAGATATTTGTGTCGGGGGAGGGGGCGCGTTGCCATATTGTGCATGAAACTCATTAAATAATGCATAAAATATTTCACTAACCTCGTTGTATTCTGTTTTCGGATCAATTGTGTTATCATCATACATTGGAAGAGGACCATAAAAAGCTTGATAATAATACTTCAAACATTCTTCTAAAGAACCAATTCTAGAACGAGGATCGAGAACAAATACAATACCATAAATATGTGGAATATGTGCATAATATTTTAAAAACTTTTCCTTCATAAATTCAGCAAAATAACTCACATAAGCGGCATTCTCAAATTTTGAAAAAGCACCGGCGTGATTAACAGCTTCACGATTAAATTGGTTTGAGGTAGGTTTATAAACATGGCTAAAAGTTTCAGTTGCATTAAAAAAACATACCAAAGCATTACAAATTTTTTCGCAGGTGTCGATATCAGCCTAGTTTATACTCCCTCCGTCCCTTAAAACTTTGTCATCTTTCCTTTTTTGGACGTCACAAAAAACTTTGTCACTTTCCTTTTTAATCATTTTTTTTGTGGTTTCTGTTATTTCTCTCTCCTCTGCACAAACCTCAACCACACAGTTTTTACATTATTATTCTCCGTGCCGGTCAACTTTGGCAAAGTTTTAAGGGACGGAGGTAGTAATATAGTTATCATATTGTTTTAAAAAAGCAGGAAAATGTTCTTTATATCTAAGAAAAACTGTAATTAATTTATAAGTACTATTCCAATGAATAGACAAATCTTTAGGAAAAGTCACACATTTCTCACCTCTTTCTATCAAATAATCATGCCATTTTTTCTAAGTTGACCACTACCCCAAATACGTCTAATCCCCCATTGACTACCTCCATAGAATCTCCTAACGCTTTTAGACCATCTTGCACACAAAAACAAATTGACCGTTGTGACCCGGACCCGACCTGGCCGGGCCGGGCCGGGTCACGTTTTTCCGGAACCGAGACCGCCCCCCGCTGCTCCCTGGTTCGGGTCTACACCCGGTCCCGGACCGCCAAACCGGGCCAGTTTTGGGCCCGCACATTAGTGGGCCGAGCCGGGTCACGGGCCGGGTTGCCCGAACCGAATCCACCCCTAATTTATACTAGGGGTGAGTTGGTGAGATGGATAATGTGGTCGATTCTGATTGGATGATGTGTTTGCCACTTGACCTCCCGTACTTCCACTTGATCCCCCATACTTTTGGCATTAAATGCATTCCCCGCCACTTGCCAAAGCTTCCTGCCAACTGTTTAAGCCGAACCTTCTCGGATGGAGCCAAGTGTTAGGTTCAGGCTGTTCAGGAGTGGCTGGGGATAAACTGTACGGGATCTCCATTGCTTCTCTTTAGTATTCGTTGGGCTTCGGGGATCTTTTGGGCCAGGTTATTGGGCCGGACCGTAATATCCCAACAAATGTTATTAAATTTCTACATGAGAATTTTAAAATATTAACTTTTTATAATGTTCAATAATACGTAGTTAAATATTATTACAGTCAAAGTAGTGTGTTGACAAACGTAAAAGTCAAATTATTGTTGCATACTAAGAGAACATTTAGTGTACTTTATGGCTTTTTATAGTACCACTACGTACTATACGGTTCTTGTACAGGGCCGGCCATAGGGGGAGTTGTAACACCGACCCCGAGCATATTTACTTTTAGTAAATTATGTAATAAACCTTGAAAGATGATTGATGAATTTGCGTAATTGTAAATTTTTATTATTTCTTTTACGTGAATAGTAAATTGCATGTGGGGCCCACAGCGGGAATGTGGACCGCCCGATAATTCCCGAACCACATATTATATTCATCTTGGTCTAGATAATATGTATATAGTGGTAGGTATCTTATTTGGGCCATAGGAAAGGCATGACGTTGAGCGGTTGGTCAAACGGGGCCCAATTACCGGTATTGGCAATTTAACGGATAATAGCCCGAAATGAGTTTCGGAGACTCCTAAATTAATGTTGGGGAATATACATCCATTCTAAATGCCCATAATTATTGGGAACGCGGGATATATTTTATCCGGTCCGATAAAATAAAATATGACTAAAACAGTCCAAAAAATACAACTTTCGGGGCCGATTATACACATCGGGGCATAAGAGGATGACCTCCCACATGAGTGGGGGCCACCCCACGACCCAATGTGCTGCAAAGGACAAGGAAGCAGCTGGAGGGGGTGTACCTAGTAGGTGGGAAGTCTCCAAGAGACAAAACCCCTACCCACCATTACCCTACTCCCTTATTTTGTGGGTTGACTTAGGTGGATGGTGTTGATCACTTATCCTACCATTTCCTCACCCATCCACTCGGCCAAGGCAAAGAGAGAAGCTCTAGGGAAGCCTCCTTTCATAGTCCAAGCAGCAAGGAAGAGAATCCAAAGAGAAGAGGGTTGTTTTTGAGGTAAGAACTCAATAAACAATCTTTAACTAGTTTTATTATTGTATGATTTTTAAGAAATCATATGGTGGATTAAACCATGAGTTCTACACGTTTAAAAGTGTAGAATATTGATATAAAGTGGTGGTAATTAACTTAGGAGGGTTGGCAAATCGATAGGAGTCGAAATCGCCGGAAACCGCCACTTCAAAGGAGCTAGTCGCAGTTGCAGACCACGAAAGCCGCCCGGCTTTCGTGAAAGCCGCCCGGCTTTTGTCCAGGCAGTCCAGTTCTGCCTTTCAATCGGCCTAGAACGGGGATTGATCGAGGGGCGTAACAAAGGCAACTATTGCAGCACATCACGAGGTGAGGATGACTGACTATATTGCTTATAATTAGTGAGTTAATTTCATAAGAATGCCTAAAGTAATTAGATGGGATTTTCATGGACTATTAAGATCAATAATGTCTAAATGAAAATAATATGAATATGAGTAAGTGAAGCATGACATACAAATTTAGAATAATTGTGTATGATTATGTGAAATGAATGGAATGGCATGTTAATGGAATTACTAAGATGACATTGTGATAAAATATCCTTTACTTCATGTATGAACTTCATGAATGGATTAAAGTGATATTTTTGATATTGAGATTAGACTATACTTGGGTTGAGGAATCAATGGAAATGAAATGCAATATGGGAAATAGGAACTTGGCATGTTCTAAGGTTATCCTATTAGTATCAAAATACTAGTCGGGGAATTAATATAAATAAATGATGAAATAAATCCTAAGAGGTAGGATTGTGAATAGATATGCCTTAAGTAGTCTCAAGAGATACTTAAGGATGAATGACATGAACACTAAGGAGTGTTTAGGGGTAGGCCTAAAGGCCACCTCCGGAAATTGATTCTAGGCATAGGACTTGCTTGAGAATTTGATTATGAAAATAAATAGAGTTGGACTCTAGGATGACATGGAGATGTAGTTGGGCCGAGCCCATGCCATGTAATATGATTAGCATGGAAACGTAGTTGGGCCGAGCCCTTGCCATGTATATGTGACCTCCGTGGAAACGTAGTTGGGCCGAGCCCTTGCCACGAAGTTATGGTTGGTATGGAAACGTAGTTGGGCCGAGCCCTTGCCATACAGATGTTGATATGATACATCGAGTTAGAGGATTGTATAGAGATGTAGTTGGGCCGAGCCCATGCTATACAATTGGGGCTCGATGGGACCCGACGGGGTTATCGTGACTCGCGGTCACGGGGGAATGGGAACGGTGAATTCTAAATGAATATGGGCCTACGGGCCGTCTACTTGACTTTATGTAAAGTAAGTACAGTTAAAGGTAAAAAGGGGTAACCGAGGGTTATGGCCTATAATATAATAGTACCCTAAGACGGGGGTCTTGGAAATTAAAACGTTGATTATACTTAGTATAGTTGCTATTGTACTTGTCAAATATTTCCAAGTACTGACCTCCCCTTCACGGGGGAGGCCACCTCACAGTTTCAGGTAGGACTTGAAGGTTGCTACCGGCACCCGTTGTTTCAGGGATTTCCAAGGGAGAAGACGTGGTTCGTGCTTCTTCTGTTTCCTGTTTTCAAAACAATTATAACAATGCTCATGGATACTATTTTTGAATAACTATTTGGGGGCTTGTATGCCCATGTTTGCCAAAGTGTGGCTAAGACATCTTTATTAAATGCTTCCGCTGTTTTAAATGAATGATTTACATTATGCTTGTTTATGGATGTACTATGTGTGAATGATATTCATGACGCCTTGTATAGTATGGATGAGTTGGACTGCGGTCGACTATTCGTACTGTACGGCGGGTTGTTGACGTGTCCGGCTAGGTCCGGGGCGTGATAATTTAATTGGTATCAGAGACCTTGGTCCGTAAACATCATAATGAAGCTTCAAAATTTCTTTTTGAAAACGAATTTGAAAACCATGAGCATAAGGTTTTGTACTTATAGAACTTTTGGTACTTGAGTTGCAATGTCTCTAATTGTTAAGATGGTACCCTTAACAATTGGTATGGCGGTGATTTGAGCCAAGGGATGTCTTTAAGTACCTATCCGTCAATTGACATTTGATACAAGTCTAATGACTCATTCTCAATTTCTTTCAGAAATGGAAGGTACCGGGAAAGTGACTAGAAGAAACCCGACTGGCCGAGCACCGGGAGGATCCGTGCAAGGCAGTAGAGGGGATTCTAGGGTGTCCCGAGGACAGGGCCGTGGAGGCCAAGATCGGACCGTGAGTGACAGTTATGTGGAAACAGTCAACGAGAACGAGTCCTATGAGTCCGAGGAGGATTCGACGTATCGACCGGGAACTGAGCCGGTTGAGACCCCATATGATGGGGAGTATGATGAGGACATCGAGGGGAGCGACGATGACGACGCTCTAGAAAGGATGGAGGAACTACTCCGTCAATTTCAGCAAGATCGCCAAAGGCGCCGGGCAAGGCGTGCTTTGGGAGAGGCTTCAAGAAGGGGAAGCCATGCGGGTTCTAGGGGACATGTGGAGTCCCGAGTAGATCGAGGTGTCGAGGTTCCGATAATAAGGATCTCGAAGTACCTCAAAGAAGCAAGAGATTTGGGGTGTAAACCGTTCGATGGAACGGGAGATATATCCGTTGCGGCGGAGTGGATCAAGAGGTTCAATGAAGCGGCCCTTGATATGCAGCTGCCGCCAAACATGAAGGTGAGAGTAGCAACGAGGTTCCTAGAAGGGATGGCGTCCACGTGGTGGGACGGTGTCAAGGGGAAGTACGGTGAGGCCGTAACTTGGGAGAACTTCCGACAGGAATTCTTCAACCAATACTACTCCGACTTCGAGGTGAACTTGAAGAGGAGAGAATACACCAACTTGACCCAAGGAGGCAAGTACACCGTGAGGCAACTTGAGCACAAGTTCAGGGAGCTCGCGGAGTTCATACCGGAGTATGCTTGTGATGAGAACCGGATGGTAAATCACTTTTGGGATGCTTTGGATTTAGACGTGCGTGAGCGGGCAACACAATTGCCCAACATGACGTTTAGCCAAGTGGTGGAGCAGGGCCTGAAAGGGGAGAAAGAATGGGAAGAGAGAAAACTGAAAAACGCCGAGGAGGCGAAGAAGAGGAAATGGGAGAACACCGGCCCCCAAGGTTCTAGCAAGAAGGGGAACCACGGGGGAGGTGGGTCTTTCAGAATGCCCGCACCACCATCTAGGGGAAATCAAGGCCCAGGAGGGCAAGGCTCGAGGTCGCAAGGCTCGGGCATTAGCAAGTGCAACAATTGCAAGAGGAACCACGCGGGCAAGTGCCGCGATCCCCCTAGGTGCTACCAATGCGGGGAGACGGGGCACTTGAGATCAAACTGCCCACAACTCGGGCGAGCCATGGGTGCAGGGCCTAGCAGCGGAACTACGGCAAGTAGGAACCGAGCAGGGGCACTTCACGCGAGCACGGCGCACGGAGGGCCAAGTACAAGCAACGCGCCATCCGTGAACCAAGGCAAGACCCAAGCTAGGGTCTATGCGATGACGGAGGCAGACGCACGTGCTAACCCGGACTCCGTTGCGGGTAAATTCTTAAACTCGTGTTATTAGTCTATTCTGGAAAAAAATAGGAGTGTGGGACTTGAAAACTTATAACCCCGACGAGTTTGGTCGGGTTTGAAGGGAAAAAGGGGAGGAGAATCCTCACCCTGGGCAGAAACCGCCCGGCTTTGACGAAAGCCGCCCGGCTTTCGTCTTGATTTAATTAGGATAACACCACGGCAACGAATGTCGGCCGGCTTCCACCGAGAACCGCCCGGCTTTCGTCAAGATTAAATCAAAAATTCCTCGCAACCAAAAACCGGCCGGCTTTTGTAAAGACCGGCCGGCTTTCATAAATGCCTGACCTGGGGAAATTTCTCGCAGCTGAAAGCCGCCCGGCTTTGGCGAAGGCCGCCCGGCTTTCGTTGGGCCTGGGGAATTCTGCGCTGCTGAAACCCGGCCGGGTTTCGTAGAAACCGGCCGGCTTTGAGACCATTTCCTGAACAAAAACTGCGGCGACGAAAACCGGCCGACTTTCGTGTTGAATTTATTTGAATGCCTTCCACCGGGAATTGCCCCAAATGGCGACGGCGGGACAAGGTCTCTTATACAAGAGCTTATTTGACCTTTTTGGTTAGTATGTGGGCTTATTTGCTCCTTTTTCCTTTTTTTTCTTTGTTGGCTAGGGCAGTAGGGCTAGGGATTTAGGATAATGAGTATTCTAAATATATTTGAATGCTTATTGAATAATTGAAATTGTAATTTGTTATTTTGATTCATCGAAATATTGAACATACTTATACTTTTTTATATTTGATTAAATTTAGTGAATTAAATTTATATCTATGAACCATTAACTTATATTTAGTGATAGTATTATTTTTAATGAAATTTTATGTTTTGTGATGATTGGAAAACAAAATATGAATCAAGATGTACAAAGACAAAGAAAAAAATTAAGAAATGATTTGGTCATGAAATCACTTTCCGGCTCTATCGATCGGTATGTTGTATGTAAGCACAAAACCTTCTCCCTCTAGGGCTCTTTGTATTTTTTCATCAACTTTGATCTTCTGATTTCGAAGAATATTCTCACTGTGTTAATAGTATATGATGTATTTTATATGAAATTTACTTATATTTAATTGCTATTTTTATATCATTGGATTAAATAAAACATAGTTAAAACAAAATTTATACATGACAGTCTAGGACCTCATAATTGCTCTAGCCGGCCCCGTTCTTGTATACGTTCGATTTTGTTTGTCATGGACAACTTTTGCTAATAGCATATGATGTTGACAAATTTTTGAGGAAAATTTGAATTCTTTTCGTCGGTATCACATACAATCCGTCTTCAAAAAAATACTTTCTTCGTCCCAATTTGATTTGCAAAATTTCATATTTTTGTTATCCCAAAATGGTTTTTCACTTTCTATTTTAGGTATGTAAATAAGAATAAAGTGACAAATTTACCCTTACTTTTACTTTTTCTCCATTAACTTAAAAGCATCTACTTTTAGAAAGATGGGCAAAAGCGTAAAAAGCAAGCATCATTTATTGTCATTCCTTAATTCTTGTGTCGGTCAAAGTTTGCAATTCAATTCGGGACGGAGGGAGTATAAAAGTAGGGAAAAGATCTAGGCATATTCTTACTATTTAAAAGTTAAAACCCATCACTTTAAACTCTTATACTCCCTCCGTTCTTAAATATGAGTCCTCATAGGCTTTGGCACGGGTTTTAAGAGGAAAATAATAGGGGTAGCGTAAAAGGTGTAGTGGGTTGTGGGTAAATAAAAAAGTAGGAAAGAGAAAGGGGTAATGATAATAAAAGTGGATGTATAAATTTATTTTGATTGAAAAAACTTAACAAAAAGGGAAAAATGGACAAATAATTAAAAACGTCCAAAAAGGAATGCGAGACAGTTAATAAAGAACGGAGAGACTATTAATAAGTGATCACTTAAGTATGTTTATTTAAAGTAATTAATCCGGTCATTTTGATGGAGCAACAATGTTGCGAGGTTGGAGGTCCGCTCAAGGTTGTACTAAGTTGCAGCAGTTGGGAGCCGAAGTACCTGCTAGGTGGCACCGTGGCAGCACCCACGATCGTGATGATGCAGTAAATGTTATCTTTGGGGGCCGTGTTACTTGTACGGCGGACTGGCCGGTTCATACGACAAAGGCGTTCGGGGTTAGAGAGATGATCTTGTGGGCTAAAGCGTAGGGCTCGGTTAATGTGGAGGTAGAAACATATGCTTCACTCATTACCTCAGACTGAAGATGCTCCTCGAGAGTCCTATTTTGATCTTATTATTTACTCCCTCCGTCCCTTATAACTTTGCTAACTTTCCTTTTTTGGTTGTCCCAAAAACTTTGTCACTTTCCCTTTTAGTCAATCAATTTGTGGTTCCTGTTATTTCTCTCTCCTCTGCACAAATCTCTACCACACAATTTTTACTTTATTATTCTACGTGACGGTCAAACTTGGCAATCCTTTTAAGAACGGAGGGAGTATGATATTAGACATTTGCCTCAACAAGAAACTCACATGTCAATGGTTCTTTGGAAATGACCCGCGAATCTGTAGATCATACTCTTGTTAGAACTGTCCTTTCTAAAGCGGATGGTAGGGTAGTCTTTGATACAGTTCCATCTTATATTTCTAGCCTTTTGGCGAACTAACTATCTTAGTAAGATGCTGTTTTTCTTCAAAAAATATCATCACTTTACACTCCTAAATTAATAGGTGATCACGTAAGTAATTAAGTATGCTTATTTAGAGTAATTAATCGGGTCATATTATGGGCTCTTGACCTATTAGATGCAGAGTAACATGTTATTTTGTAAAGAAGCAATGAAAATCATTAAAATACAAAAAACTATAAAAAAAGATTGTCAAAGACTATATTTGCGCCTTTTCCATTATTTGTATATTCTACATCTCTTTAAAAAATTATATTTTAATTTTTACATTTTTTACATTTTAATTTTATATTATAATGTTTTTCTTTTTACATTAATGTTTCTGAGGTATTTATCTGTTTTGGCGTTTTTACCACTTTTGTTTCTATTTCTATAATTTAATATTTATAATTTGTCCATATTTCTTGTTTCGTCGTCCCAAAATAATTGTATTTTCATTTTCATTTAAATTAATATTTTGTCAATTTTCCTTATTTTGCTATTCAAAAAATTGTCATTTTTATTTAAAGTGCTACACAAATATTTAAGTGGTTGATATTTAATTGATATAGTATGAATAAAAGATGATGGTGAAATACTTAAAAATATATATTTATGTGGTTGATATTTAATTGATATAGTATGAATAAAGTAATAATGAATTAAAACCACACAAAGATTGTATGAGACAAACCCGGACATAAAAGTAGAAAAATGAGCCAATCGTAGTGGGACGAAGGGAGCAATAAATAACCGCTTAAAATTATTTTCTCTCCTTTGCATAAATCTTAATTACAAAATTTTTACTTTGTATTCATCGTGCAAGTCAACTTTGACCAAAATTTATTAGACATATGAGGTATGACATTAAAGTTATTTCTTTCTCTCTATACAAACATATATCACACAATTTTCACCTTATTATTTCATGTGTAATTCAACTTTAGCTAAGTTTTACAAGATGAGTGGACGTTGGAGTACGGATCTTTTTTTTGACATAAAAACTTTATTAATTCAAACAATCACTAGCCAACTGGCTTAGAATACAATTCCAGCGCTTTTTGCACTCCCGGTGCTTCTGTCTCCTTGGCAGACCAGTCCGCCGTTACAGCTTCCCGATGAGCTTGGATGAACTGTATTCATCGTACAAGTCAACTTTGACCAAAATTTATTAGACATATGGGGTATGACATTAAAGTTATTTCTTTCTCTCTATACAAACATATGTCACACAATTTTCACCTTATTATTTCATGTGTAATTCATCATCCCTAGCCCCACGCCCGAATCCCCGTCATTGGTCCGAGGAGTATGGATCTTTAATATTGAAATTTGAAATAATAAAAATGACTATTTGGATCTTTTCCCTGAAGAGCATGAGGAATATGGATTTAAGCAAAAGTAACAACTATTTATACTAACGTAGGAGTAATAAAAGAAATTTTGAACTGAACCAGTGCATAAAAAATTGTCTTGACTAACATAAGGCTGCAACCATTTCAAAGAGCACCGACATTAAAGTTTAACCATGTGATTATGCCCTTGTCAAATCATGGGCGGAGTCAGCACACTGGACCGGAATGAATCGGTACAAAGAAAATTTTTGGAAAATTTTTTGTCCGAAATTTTTTACACTAAAAATTAAGACATTTTTTAAATTTGGGCTGGGCCAGGGCCAAGGTTGGCCCTCCCTGTCTCCGCCCATGTGTCGAATACGTAATACCTCTTCCCGGTGGACTTTGACAAGTGCAAAGTAAATGAGAAATAAAAATAATAAAAACTACGTGGTTGAGATTTGTGTAGAGGAGAGAAAAATGTGCAGAACTACAACTTAGTTGCTTTAATAGGAAAGTGACCAATTTTTTTGGGACAACCAAAAAAGAAACCACAATCCACTGCCATAGCACAATAAGCTGCCCTTAAAGCTTTCCAAGCTTTGATTCCTTCCTGAAAATCTATCTCCTCGTATTCATATATCTGGAAATAAAGTGCAAACACAATTATGCTTGTCTTTTACACCTTTACCCTTCATCCTAAAAGTAGAAAAGTAAAAGTAAAGGTAATGTTGTCACTTAAAAGTATTTATTTACATTTGGATATATATTTCTGGTGAGAAGCAGTATTTGTAGAAGTAAATCGGCAATTTTATATTTGCTTCACAGTCGAACTTCAACCGGCACATTATAACCCTTGAGTGAGTTCGCAGTCGAACAATACGAACCGAATAAAACAATTACTCCCTTCTTTCCATAAAATAAATCTCAATTTTCTTTTTGGACCGTCCCAAAAAATTGTTCTCACTTCCCTTTTTGAAATATTTTGTGTGGCTAACATTCATTTACCTTTTTCTTAGTCAAGCACAACCATACTTTTCCATTTTATTCCCATTTTCTTAAATTGCGATCCAAATTGAAATGCACTTATTTTATGGGAGGGAGGTAGTATGATTCAAAGAGTCTTTGGCAAAGAATGAAGTCTTTCCCTCCGGGAAGGATAAGGAAAGGGGGTAATTTAGAACAAAGTTTATGGCAATCCCATTCTAGATCAATCGATCAAGTAGGATTATAAGCCGTCACTGTTCCACCCACCAATCCAAAACCCGAAGAACAATAGTTATTTCCATCAATCGTAGTGAGCTTATATATTACTCGTAATTTTGAAAACTAAAAGATAAGGGGGAGAAAATATATGTATTAATGTATCTAACTAAAGTATGAAATTTTATGAAAATATTACATATATAGTAGAAAAATGTGAAAGTCCAAATGACGGTCGCCCCCACCCCCTTAAATCCGTCCCTGCATGCTCCTCGGTTGAGCAGTGCCCATGAGGTTGATGGGAGTATGGGCCGGGACGGTTAGAATCATGTGAGAAGTGTAATCTAACAATATTAAAACTCGTTCTACATAGACATCTTTCTATATACAAAAGCAGGAGAAGTCATGCCATTTTTCCCGCCCAAACACTTGCTCCATTGGCGGGTCGGGTTATGCTTCATGGGTTATTTGTGGTTTCTCAATTGGCGAGTACGAGTTAAGTTAGAATCGATTCAAGCTTGGATCACGGGTTCTTAGAGGTTTGCTGACTGATTAGACTTCTTTGGTCAATAAGTAATAATTACACACGGTAGAGTTCGTGGCTCAATAAATGCCTATTAGAGCATTAAATGTTGTGTTATTTGAAATGTGGAGGCAATAAATGCTTTGTCCTTTTTAATTATTTTTTATAACAAAGTAGACAAAACATTAATTGTATTCTACAACTAATTTGATGTTGGCTGAAAAAATCTTTATCAAGGATTTGAGAATGCGAATTCACTACAAATTAGAAACAACAATTATAAATAATGTTACTTTATTCTGATCAGACCTGCGTGTTGTCCTCTGAGATTTACATTAATTGGTTCTCTAACATTACATGATATTAACTATTGGTTAATAACTATTGGTTAATTTATGCAGTGTAACAACACCTCAATTATTGTACCATAAATACATCCTAACTTCAGCACTTAAGCACCCTAATCCATCTCAAAACCACTTCGTAATGGACAGAGTTCAATTCAGCACCATTAGTTCATAAAATTCAAATGAAATGTCTGCTTTCATCACATATGTAAACCAATCCAACTTTATTTGCATCAAGGATAGGGATTGTAAAACCATGAAGAACCCATTCAACTGGAGAGGGCGGATGCTAGAGTTCGTCATCTATCATCAACAGGTATGAGAAATACATTACAATTTTTGAGTTTAAGAAAACAAATCAAAATGCTTATTAAAATCTACAAACATCAGTCAATCGTCAATTTTTTGAAATAGATGTATTTAAATAAAACAATTACAACCATTATATAAACAAAAGTGTTTAGAAAGTAATTCTTTACTTAAAATAAAAAATTCAGTTTTATGTAAAAATCGGAAATGTGAAAAAACATCCATAAAAAACTATGAGGACACCATGTAATGATTAAGAACTCATACACTGCATTTCATCAAGTATGGAATTTTTTAAAGCTAAAGCAAATGAAAATAGGAAGTCTGAGGCTTCTTTTATATTAGTCTTATATTTTGTATCAATGGAATTACTATGAATTTCCATGGAGAAAATTTTGGCCTAAACAATAGATGGGTTGCCATTGTAATTAACATCTTTTTAGTACAGGTTATTCAATTGACAACAGGTGGATTGCCAAGAATGATACACATCCATTTTTTAATTATTAAACAAAACATAAAATGTATTTTAAAACTACTAAAATCATTCAATCAGTCAATTTTCAGAAATAATAATATTAAATAAAACAATTACCATCACATAAGCAAATGTGTTAAGAAAGTAATTTTCCATTAATGTAAAAAATCTCAGTTACATATGCTGGATGTTGCTACAATGTAGCAAATGAATGTAACAAATGAGAGAGATGTAAAACAATCTTTAAAAACTCTTAAGAGGACACCATGTAATTACTAAGAATACATAAAAATAGAATGCATGAAGTACAGAATTATTTGAAATGCAAATAAAAACATGTATTATTAGGCTTATTTTATATTGGCCTTGCTCTATATCCATGAAATCGCTATGAATTTCCATGCATAAATATTTGGCATAATAAATAGATGGATTATCATTGTAATTTTCATTTTGTACAGGGCGATTGAATGAAAACAGTTGAAGTGTACGGCTAGGAATGTAGGTGTTAACGACCAAAGATGCACATATATATGCATACACCAGTTTACATTGAAGGAGTTCAAGTGATATCAACTCAAGTTTATGAGCAGGCCATTGTATTTTAAGAAACAAACTGTAGCATTTTACTTTAATGTGACCAAGTATATGACATATAATGCGACAATTCAAATGCTATTGTTACAGATAAATATGACAAATCATGCTTCAATCCAAATGCTATGGATTGTGATACATGTATGACATTAAGGTCCTGCTCATCTCAATACTTTAAGAGAACAATATTGTAATGTCATATTACCAACAGAATTTACTTTTCAGATCCCAGATCTAATTTCTTTCGTTATAGTAAATCAAGTACGGTACACATACTCTATAGTTTTAGAGATCAATGTAGCGAAAATAAGAGATAACTATATATTTCTAAAAAAGGCATATTCAAGTAATATTAAGAGTTATAACAAAACGAGTAAAAGTGAGAGCTATGGTCTGAGATCCTTTGGTTATCCCTCAGCCTTCATACAGTAACAGTACGTGGGTAGTAAGGCAAGATCGAACAAAAATATACTCAATTGACACATTAAAAAAGGTTCTTAATTGAATAAATCAGTATAATAAAACCATATACAAGTGCATGTACACAGGAATATTGTACGATCTACGCAAACATAAACTAACTTTACACTGGAAAAAATATAATGAATTTAATAAATCCCTAAAACAAAATGATTTACAAGTGCATGAATGAATATACTATTGGAATGATAGATATAACTAGATTGATCTATCCATAAAAATAACTGAAATGGAATCAAATATGTAAATCTGCAGAAATTAGTAGGTGTATGTGTGTATCCAAAATTTGGTTAACAGACTTATTATATTGATTGAGCCGCCAACATAGAAAATCAGAATGGCCCCTTTTCAAACCGAAGAAACAAAACGTCACCCAACATAATACCACTGATTTTTCGATTATGTGCACAATATAATCAAAAAAGTGATGGAAATAGATGACATGCACACAAAATCAAAACTGATACAAACATAGTAATTGATAACCGTTCAAAAAACTAAAAAACGAGGACATAGATGAAAGGGATAATACTCGAATTGCAAGAAGATAAAATACATGGTTTGAGGCCCTTTGATTATCCCCCATCCATCATATAGATTCAAACAGTTGAATAATATGACACCCCACAACAAAAACACTGATTTCACGGCTAAACAAAAGATATTGTCGGATTTGGGGACAAAAATTGAAGATTCAACAGAGCTACAGTAGGAGAGGGGTCGGATGAACCGAGGGTCCTTTGTACGGCAATTGAAAATGATGCTTATATATAGGACCCTTTTAGGTTTTGTTGATGTTGGGCTAAGATGGGCCGGTGAAATGGGTATTTTTTAATGTCATGGGTTGTCCAAAATAGGTACTAATATGTAAAAAACTATCATGGGCCATCGAGAATGAATTATTTTTATATTATTATTATTATTATAGTTATTATTATTGTTATTATTATTACTCTCTCCCTCCGTTTCTTAAAATTTTGCCATGTTTGACCGATATGAGGATTAATAAAGGAAAATTTGTGTACTTGAGGTTTGCAGACAAGATAAATTAATTGGAAACATAAATTCTTTATTTAAAATGGAAAGTGATTAAATTAGTGTGACATACAAAAAATAAAATTTGGCAAAATTCAAAGGGGCAGAAGAAGTATTACTTATTCTACAACTATTGTTATTATTTATATTTCGTTTATTATTATTATAAATAATGGTTTCACTTGATCGGCTATCTATTCAGTCAATTGGAAGAAAAGAAATTAAATTATAATAATCTAAACTATCATCTGTCGACTTTTATTAGACCCAAAAAATACATTAAAATAACCTTGATATTTGAAATTAAAGAAAGTTTCAAAAAGTGAAATATAATAATAATTTTTTCCTAAATATTAAAAAAATATCACGAATTTGTAAAAGAATATATAAAACAATTATTTATCAAATATTACAATTTTTCTAAAAATAAAAACAAAACAAAATAGTGGTTTTCTTTATGAAACACAATACATTATTGGATTTAGGTAAACTTTCATTTTATAAAATTCAAATTTGAAATTTAAACCAAATTTTTCACTTTTTGTAAAAAAATCGAGTTGATTGTTGGGATTATTATACGGAGACATAACCAGTCAATCAAGCAATTTCGGTCAGTTTTTTATAAATTTCAGTTGAATCAATCAATGCAGTCAACTTGTGTATTACCAAACGGCTCTTAATATCTCATTTCTATTTTCAGACATTTATCTTCTTACAAGTTACAAATCATTTTACTCTTAGTAATTACTCTGTATAACCTTTATTATATAATACCTGATATTCTATATTCATTACACATTGCATTTAATAAAATTTTGATATTGTTAATATAATAAAAAATATAAAATCGTTATATCAATATTTGTCCCGCACGGGTGCGAATCTAGTGCATTCAATGAGCCATAATATCACACACTGATGTGACCTACCCAGTCTTGGATACTTGGACCTGGTATAGGGGAACCAAATCGACCAGATAATTACCTGAAACCAATCAAGCCGACTGGTTCGAAACTGAAACCAGTACTAGTAACCGTCTAGGTTATAGTCCAATTCCTCAAACGGGCCGGATAGCAATCAACCTGAATCTTGAACAGCCATTGCTAACATATCAAGAACCAGACCGATATTACAAATATTGGTTGAAGTTCATACCTTAAGGGGACGGTATCAGCCCATGTCCACCCCAGAACACACCTTGAAAACGAGTAAAGCCCGTTTTCACGGTCAATTTATACTTGTCATTCCAGAACAACACAGCACCATAATAACAAAAGAGTGATAACTGAATGTTTATTTGCACATTCAACATGACAAAACAATTCAAATGTTAATCCGGTGGAGTAGAGTAGCTGTTTACATTACTTTAAGAATTAAACAAAAAGGTCCAATTCACTGTTGGTTCTTGCAGCAATCAACAAGATTACATGAGCTCAACAACAGCACGGCCAGTGATATTCCCTCGATCAAGATCTTTGTACACTTCTCCGGCCTCTTCAAGTTTGCATTTCCTAGAAACAGCTGCAGAGAGATTGAAGATGCCTCTCTCGGCAAGTTTAATCAACTTCGGAAGATCTTGTCTTGCTCTGGCCCCATATGACCCTATCACTTTTATCTGTTCAAGAGATGCATAAAACATTTACAAATCAGAACCAGTCTACATCCCACCTCAAATCAGGGGTCGTTACATGACTAGTAAAGCAAAACCAGAATCAGATTATTCTTCAACAACTGCTTAATTTTTCATATATATGGATCGGATTAACACGCAAATTATCATTTATTAAGGAATAAGGAAAGAATACTAAGTTGCTTGATCTTATAGGTAACACACACCGACCTGTTTTCGGACTAAATGATTGATATCGACCTCCCCTTTAGCACCAGAGAGAGTGAGCCCAATCATCACAGCTTTCCCTCCATCTCTAACACTTTGTACACATTGCCCAAATGTTTGTGTTCTACCCAATGCTTCAACTGCAATATCCACACCCATTCCACCTGTAATTTCCTGTCCATTTCACCACCTAAAATCAATTAATGGCCTTAACATTGCGACTTTTTTACACACCATCTTTTACCAACATCCTGTTTTTTATGGATAAGAGAATTTACTAAGTACAATAAACAGGATAACACATTTTGTCAAATAGGTCTCATAACTTTTTCTTAATAAACTTGCGGGTCACTGAATGGAAAGTCGCCGGAAATGAGTCACTGGCGGGTGGAGACGTATCACTGGCAGGCGACGGCGAGTCACTGGACGGCAGTGGTCATTCAACAGCGTGGGTCATTGTAGGACAATGGTCAGTGTCGGGTGATGTAACCGTCAAGTCTGTACGTGGGAGGGTGGGGGTATAGAAGTCATATAAGTCACTTACACGAAGTAGAGTTATATTGATGTCAAAAACCCTTATTTTAAATTTAGTGCTATTTTTTTTCAGGACTTTTCTTTTAGTAATATTGATGTCAAAACCCCTTATTTTAATCCTCACTTACAAGTGACCTTGAGAGAAAACAGATAGTACCTTTATTTTCTTCACTGCATCTTCATTCAGTGCATTTATTGTGTCAGTGGCTCCAAGGGATTTAGCTTTCTCTAGTTTCTCATCTTGAACATCAACTGCAATAATCTGTGAAGCTCCAAATGCTTTTGCTATCTGCAGACAGCTATAAAAAGTTTTCCCCAGTTTTAAGTAATGGTGGCATAAAAAGCCATTAATCCCATCATCAAAGCTCAATTGAAATCATTTCCGGTTCAAGCCATGGTGTTATTTGGCCACAATTTAAGTTCATCATAATCACACTTTCCTAAACAGTCTCTCTGTGCTTAAGTACATGGGTAAGTACATCCAACCCCCCTTACCCCACAATAGGTGGGAGCCTTTGTGGCACTAGGTGTAATGATGATGATGATCACACTTTCCTAAATCCAATATTATCCATTGGGTAATTTATCCAGCTAATACTCCCTGCGTCCCCCTACAATTGTCCCATTTTTTCATTTGTGGATGTCCCCCTATTATTGTCTCATACCATATTTGGTAACATTTGTGTGGCTCTAATTCATTCTTACTTTATTCCCACTTTATCAACTCATTATCAACCACATAATTTTACTTTTCTTAAAAACCACACCACTCTCTTCTGCCCCAATATTAGGGGGGTGGAGGTAGTATGTATACCTGCCATTAATCAATATATACCCAGCTGTCAATATAAAATTGCATTTCCTAATTTCAAATCACGGATGTGTTGCTAACCTATGCACTTCATAGAGCACATCCAATGCAACAATATGCACAATGCACACTTGGCATGAGAAAGACAGATACGGTAAAAATAGGCAAATAATTTTTGTATTTCTTCACTTCCACGCTTTTTTATGTTTTTGGTAAAGTTTTCTTGATGATGTCAAGCGAAATGTCTACAACTAGATATTATGTTTTACACTGTAGACGATAAAATTACCTGAACACATAAAAACATGAAAACACAGAAAGAGAAAATCCATTCTCATTTTAATGTATTTATCTCTAATGACATGTAGTGCATATTATTGTACATGAGATGCTTTTACAAACATATTACATGCTAGGGGAGGTCTCTAATACCCCCTCTGTCCTGTAATGTAAGATGCAATTGAGTTTGAAACGGGAAACTAAAAGATCCGGTAGTTGATTTACAATTATAACCTTCAAAGAGTGGTATAAAGTAGTATGGGTCCACAAAAAGTAAGAATGAAATGATAGATAGAGGGATAAAGTGGGAAATTAAATATTAATAGTGTTTAATTTAAGAAAGTGTTCATATTTATGGGATAATACAATATGGAAAGTTTATCTTACAAAATGGGATGAAGAGAGTAATTGAGTATTACCTTGAACCCACACCACCTATTCCAATGACGGCAATAGCATCACCCGGGCGTACTTCGGCAGCATGAGCCATCGCACCATAAGCAGTAAACACTGCACATCCTAAAATAGCAGATTCCGTATAAGGTACGGTACTAGGTAGAACAGCCAATCCGTGTGCTGGCACCACACAGTATTCAGCTAGACCTCCCATACTGTACATATATGCTGGTTTCCCTGGAAAGTCAACACACTAACCAAATAAGTGTCCTATGCTACAAGTTAGCAAATGGAAGACCTCAAGACTAAGGGTCTGTTTAGATGGAGTATTTTCGAAGGGAAGGCTTTGACGGCTTAGTCTATGTCTTGATAAATAGAATGTTTATCTCACCCTTTCAAATAAGAGTGATTGAAATGTTCCCATATCACTTATTATGTTACCCCTTTCAAAAATCTCACCCTTTATCATAAATATATAGACTTAGCCCTCCATCCAAACACCACCTAATAAAAACTTTTAAGGGGGGGGGGAATGTTAGTTGATGGCCTGCACTCTCATCCAAGAATTGTTGGGTCACTGTCATGCAATCCATGATCAATCCGATTGACATAAGAAAGTGGAAATCAAATTGTACACTTTTTTTCAAAACATATGGATTAATCCACAAGTAATAAGCAAATAATATTACCATTGCTGCGGAAAAACAGTCGTGTTTCACCATCATAAAGGGTTCCTTTAGCTCGATTGTATGCAAAAAAATCCTCACATAAGTCATCTTGACCCTGCTCTCATTCAAAACTGAACATGTTAACGGGGTCTAGTGTGCTCTTATCTAGCAAAAGATGTTTCTAAGGTCACCTTTGAGCAGAACCCACAGCTACCACAAGGCATGATGAAAGCTCCAACCACTCGAGCTCCCACAGGATATCTGCATTGTATTTAAATGAAGAAAAAACACAGCTTTCACCTTATTTATTACACCTTTCAACTATACGTCAGGACAAATGATACACCGTTTTAATAAGAACTTGAGTATTACACCTTTGAACAATTTTACTGTCTGTGAGGGGGCCATGCTCAATCACCTCACCAGTTATCTCATGCCCAACAACACAAGGTCTTGCAAAAGGAAGTTCACCTTTAATCACATGCAGGTCAGAGTGGCAGACTCCACATGCTGCTTGGCAAAAAAACTTCAGTAGCAGAATTATCATATTTGCAGAAGAAAAAGATCATATGCACTTGTAAATGATATCCAATGGCCATAGTAGGTTTTTCACACTAACTAAATGAACTACCAGGGGTACTAATTTTTTAGGGGGGAGGGGGGGGGGCTGCATTTGGAAAATGGTTTTGGATAAGCTTTATGTGTTTATGTTCACTTAATCAAATAAGCATAAAATATAAATGAGCAAACAGAACTACAATACTTGCGTGTTTCTCAACAAGCTCACCAATTGTTTATTTGATAATATTAATGGACTTTATACGTGTTTCTCACGTATATGTTCATTTCATAAGTGGCAAGTAAAAGTCGCAGAGCAGAGATGAAATATTAGGAAAAGTTGGAAAGAGAGAATGGAAAATTAGAGATATCTTTTAGATAAGAAAAAGTAGGAAAAGGTGCCTGAAATGAAAATTGGACAGAAACTTCCCTGAAAGGGAAGTGGGCAAGTAAAAGTAAAAAAAGGGAACACAATTTCAAAATGGCTAGCAAATAAACCCCAATTCGATAATCCCCAACTCAATGATCTAGCATTTGAGATTTCTTTCTGCTAGCCATAAAGAGACAGAGACCAAGAAACGGAAAGAAGTGAATGAGACATAGTTAATTGATTGTTAATGAACTAATTATGACAGAGTGTACATCATTTGGTTGTAATCTTCATGAATAAATGTTTCCAACCAAACATCAACTATAACTAAAGAACTGACATGAATAAGAGTTTCACCATTTAAACAACCACAGACACACTAATTTTTTTAAAAAATTAAACAAACAGCTCAAAGCTTGGCCTGGTATAGTTCATTTAGACTCCTACTATTAATGCAAATGTGACTACTATCACCAGAGGGAAGATCAAATACTCAAGTGGCTATCTGGGAAACTTTTTTAACTTTAAATATATCCAAACAGGTAAGCAAGAACCATAAACTGCACTATTGCTATGAAACATGAAGATCATTCCCTACTCATCGGTTCCTTTATCTGGTTGACCTCTTTTCAAGATCAATTCTTTTTCAAAAAATAGATAAATAAATAAAACCACATCTTCAATAGTATATCTCTTAGAGGAATAAAGATTCAAAAAGAGCGTCCAAATTCAATAAAGATGTATTGCACCTTTGGTTTTGATTAGAACTTCGTTGGCCTTGGGGCGGGGCATGTGGAAATCTTCCAAAGTTAAAGGCTTGTTCGGTTCCCAAAAGACGGCTGCGCGCATGTAGGACGGACCTCCCTGTAGATGATATGCTGACGCGGCATCGGAGCTAAAGGGTCTCTTGTTGCAATCACCGCCACCGTGACCGCTTGAAGTAGAATCGTAAGGAGAACATCCCCCGAAGGCTGCTGCCGTTTGGGAACATCTACTTTTGCGGAGGAGGTTGCGACCGGCGAGGGCGCGGCGGAGAAAGATAGACCCACGTCTGAATGCCATAGCTTCCGTTGGATCAGTGGATTTGAAAGTCCGAACAACAGAAAATCACACAGGTGGAGTTAGCTTTCCTTCTGGACCACTGGACTAAAAAACTAAAACTCAAGCCAAAGTTAACTTTCCTTTTAATAAAGTAAAAAAGTTGAAATTCGGGTAGAGGGAGAGAATTAATTTTAGCCACATACTTTCTTCCTTCATCTGGACTTTGTAAACTTTCTTTTTTTGTTTGTCCCAAAAAACTTTGTCACTTTCCTTTTAAAGCAAGGTTTTTGTGGCTCTGTTCATTTCTCTCTCCTCTGCATAGACCTCAACCACACAAATTTTACTATTCTAATTTCTCACCTAACATCAACTTGGCAAAATTGAGTAGTACGGATGTAATATCCTTACATTAAATAGAAATCACAAATCTTTTTGGGACATTCAAAAAGGGAAATTTGTCCAACCTTTTTGAGACCGAAGGATTATAAGTATTCAAGTGTAAAAATTGGTAAAAAAGGGAACAAGCTGCAAGATGGTTTATCTCGTTAGTTTATGTGGCTTGTTCTCGCACGCAAATTATACCCTACGACCGGTCTACCATCCGCATGGTATACCGGTCGTAAACGGCGTCGTTTTGCTTATTAAAAAATTAGATCAGCTCTTTTCATTAATCGAACCTGCAGCTCATGATAACTGATTTCTCTCCGCTCTGCGATCCCTTCGATTCGTTTCTAAGGTTCTTAGATGGATTTTTCTGTCGACGATTCTGCTCTTTTTGCTTCTCATACACACGATAACATTAATCATTCAATTAATGATAATGATTTCGAAGTTGATCAGCTGGTTGATGTTGAATTGATTGGTAAGTATACATTTTTCGTGCTTTATGAATTGATCAGCTGGTTTATGTTTTATGAATTTTTCATGTTTTTCGAAGTTGATCATGTTCTCTGTTTTATACCATTGCTTGAGAATTTCGATTGTATGAGTATTCATAGTTTTGATTTTATGTTCAGGAGAAGAAGACACTATTTCAAAAGCTTCTAAATTGTTATATCTTCTTAGCAGAGGTATTTATTCTGTCATGTAACTTCATTTCATTTTGGTTGTAATTCCGTTCGATGATATTTAACTCGCGTCTCAAATGTGTGTAACTTGTGTTCTCTGATATGTAACTGTTGTTTAATTTAATGTAACATTGTGACAGTATGTAGTTGTTGATTGTTTTTCATATATATGCTTTATAAATTGGCAGATTCATTGGAAAATGTTCACCAGTCAACTGAGAGTAAATCACTTGTTGGGCTTAGTGTCAATTGTGAACAGGATGCTTACAAACTTTACAATGATCATGCTTTTGAAAATGGATTTGGTATTCGTAGATGCAGACAGAGGTTTAGGAGTGGGAATGTAAGTTTGACTATGAAGTCTTATTGTTGTTGGAAAGAAGGGAAGAAACTACAAAAGGGTACCGAAAACAAAATGTATACCAAGTTAGATTATCGTACTGGTTGTAAAGCGATGTTACAGTTTTCTATTAGTTGTGATGGTGAATGGACTGTCTCAAAGCATATTATTGATCACAACCATGCTTTCTGTGCAATTGGTCAAAGACACCTGCTGAAATCACATAGAGGCGTTGATCGTGAGTATCTTGAATTTATTATGTTGATGAAGGAGAGTGGAACAAAGGTTTCAGATGTTCACAGGATGCTTCAAAAACAGGCTGGTGGTGTTAGTGCTCTTGGATTCACGAAACGTGATGCTTATAACGTTCTAGAATCTGAAAGAAGTAAAACGTTTGATGGTACTGATTCGAACACTTTGATTGGTATATTTAAGAAAAGGGCTGAAGTGGAATGTGATTTTTTCTTTGATTTTGAGTTGGTTGATGGTATACTGACTTGTTTTTTCTGGAGAGATGGTCAAATGAGATCTGATTATGAGAGGTTTGGAGATCTTGTTGTGCATGATACAACTTACAGGACTAACAAGTATGATATGATCTGTGGTCCATTTATTGGTATGAATCACCACTGTAAAAATATAATGTTTGGTTGTGGCTTTATTCTAAATGAAAGGGTGGAGTCTTTTGTTTGGTTATTTCAGACTTTTCTGAAATCTATGGGTGGTAAACACCCCATCAGTTTCATGACAGACCAGTCATTTTCCATGGCAACGGCTATCAAATCTGTATTTCCTGGGGCGAGACATAGACTCTGCACTTGGCATATAGATGAGAATTCAAAGAAACACATCATGCATCTACGCAAGAAGATAAATTTTGTTTCTCTTTTTGATTATGTTGTCAAACGATGTGATACTGTTGCAGAGTTTGATTTCTATTGGAATGAGTAAGTTATTGTTATCTGATGTAACTTCGTGATTATTTTATGTAACTTTTTCAATCATTTGGTGTAACATATATATCTTCATATGTAATCTTGTCTTCTTTTCAAATCTGTTTCAGATTGAATACAGTTTATGAATGCAGTGACAACACATGGTTGAAGAGGCTGTACAGTCATAAAGAAAAGTGGTGTCCTGCTTTTTCGAAGGATTACTTCTCTGGTGGTGTTTTATCCTCTCAAAGAAGTGAATCTACAAATAGATCTATATCTAGAAGACTTACCAAGACTGCAACATTATGTGATTTTTACAAAATGTTTTGTGATGTTGTTGATGAATGGAGGTTAGATGAGAATGGTCATGATTTTAGATGTTCTGAAGGCACCGTTGAGATGGTATTGCTACAAGACACTTTGTTGACTCATGCGAGAGATGTGTATACCCTTGAGATTTTCAAAGTGTTCCAAGAACAATATTTGAAGGGTATGTCACATTTTTTTAAATTAATCTCACAGAATTGTCATGACTATGTGTATCATGTTTGGTTGAATGGGGTAGATATGATTAGACACAGTGTTACTTTTAATCGGCATGACAACACAGTGACATGCACTTGTAAGATGTTTTCTGAAGTTGGCATTTTTTGTAGACACATTTTGCGTATATATAATGTGCATTGTGTCAAATGTATTCCCCAAGTTTATATACTCTCTAGATGGACAAAGGCTGCCATTCTTCCAAATGTTAATCTTTCTATTACGCACGGAACCGATATTATGTCTGGCAAAATATTGGAAGATTCTGTTTGGAGAGTGCAAATGACTAGGAAATTCAACTCAGTATTGAGTGCAAGTGCTGCTTTTCCTGAAGCTAGACGAGTATGTGATCAAGGATACGAGTCTATTAAACATTTTTTAGATGCACAAAGAGATGCTTCTGTTGTGGATGAATCTGCTTCTAGGACAATATTGGATCCTCCACGGTCTCGTTCTAAAGGTCAGCGAAATACCCGAAAGAGAAGTATTGTTGAGAAACAGTGCAAAATAGTCAAAGCTCGCCGTTCAAAATCCCAAAATGTTGCCTCCAATTCAAAAGCAGTTGCTCAAACAGTGCAAAAATATTTTCTTATCATTAATTTTTGTTTTGTTTGATTGTAGGACACTGTTAATTTCATGGTTCCACAAGGTTATGTACTTGCTCATCCAATTGGAGGAATGACGTCTTTAATGCATGTGTCTGGATCTCCACAAGTTTTTGCTCCATACTTCATGCAATCCAATGCTTTGAACCAAATGCAGAATTAGTTATAGTTACACATGTTTGGAAAACCAAATGCTTTGAGGAGTTTACATATCATATTGTGAACTTTTACTTTTGTTGCACCTTGAGTTATATTTTATTTTATAGAATTTATATTGTCTTTACAGTTTGTTTACATGTCATACAGCATTGCCATAAATACAATACGCAATCAAGTTTGTTTACATTTATTTATATTACAGAATGTAATCTGTGCAGTCACAGCTCAGTAACAGTAGTTACATTGTTTTTCCCTTCAGTTACATAGTTCTTTAACGTGACTTACATTTGTTGTACTCGTTGTTTACATCAGATGTGTATTACTTGATTAGCTAATGCAAGTGTACATAAGTTATATAAAGTGAGAAGAACGCTTTAGGTGAGAAGTGAGAATGAATCTCAGCCGTTGGATTCGACATAAAACATATAAAACAAACTAGTTTGCATCAACTTATCATAATCCAACATATAAGTTTTCCACATACTAAACAGATAACTTTTGAGGTGCATTACAAGCTACTGCATAAAACCAAGAAATGTCTAAAACCCATACCACTGCATTACAAGCTACTGCATACAAACAGATAACTACAGCATAACGCATACCACCACACCCTCCATAAAACCATGAAATGTTTTGACTGTAACCCCATCATATTAATTAATTACATCTTCAAGTAGTCTTTTGCTTTTTTCAATATGTTTTCCCTTTCTTTGTTAAATTTTGACAGTAAAACTTGAGCTGCATACATCACTCTCATCTTTTGGATTGTTTCATTTTGAGCTTTTATTCCATCATTTGTGGCAGCAGTTGCAAATCCAGAATCCCATACATGTCCTTGCCCACGAAACGTCTCCAAGTGACGCAAAGTATATACTCCACAGTCAACGTGATTGCTATTATGTCTCCATGGCATGTATAAGATTCTGGGGACCCAACTTGTTGTGCTTGAAATCTGCACTTTCTCACAGAAGGCTTTGAATCCTTCATGCTATACAAGAAGTAACATTAATGAATTAAAATAATATGGAATAATATGATTTCTTATTTCCAAAAACATTGTATTGAATTTTTACCATTTTTTTCAAAGTTTTGCCATATTTGTCCTCAACGCTCACCCCATCTGGAAGCATCCGGTTGTCAATTACATCAACAATGTTGTTTGTTGTGTAAAAGCAGTAGATATAATAGTGCTCATGATTGTGAATGGGAAACAGTATCTGCATTATTATAAATTTATCTTCAGTTACATAAAATAATACAGAATCTACATAATTCATATCAGAACTTACATCACTCAGCTCTGTAGTTACATACTACGGTATTATTTTTCACCCTTTGTTTTAAAAACATTTTTAACAATATATCTTATACACTGACTTACATAAAACAATAGAGTTTACATAATTCATATCAGAACTTACATTAGTCAAACGCTGCAGTTACATATTATGCTAAACATTTTCTATTACTAATATTGTTTCACACTGATTTACATTTAAGAATATATATATAAGGATTACCAAATTTGACTTGTGTTTTTACACTTGAATTATGTAAAATTAAATATTAATGACATTTTACCATATCTAATTTTGTGACATCTGCTGCAGCATCATTTATTTCTTTTTGCAATCTATCAACCATATTTTCTATTGGGTCACCAGATGCAAAATCAAACATTGCCTGCACATTCAAATTGAGTCACTCTTAGGAAAATATAGAAACTGAAGTTCTCTACTTTATTTTACAATTTTACAAGAAAAAAATATACATACATATACTTGGGTTGACGCAATGAAGGCACGCTTTGTAGACTTATTTGATTCTTCTCTGTCATTCAGAATCTTAGTGAATGCATCAATTATTGAGTTGTCTACATTTCCTTCTTGAAGTGTCTGAATTTCTTCATGAGTTATAAACACACCTTCCTCATCTATATAGACACAGTCTCTAACAGAATAATATTTTTCAAACAAATTGAAACAATTAATTATCAAATGGTGTTTATATTGAAATAATACATTATATAATATTAGTTTTTCTTACTTTTCAACTTCTTTTGAGAATCCCCAATCAAGAACAATCTTTTCATCTCTGCTAAATTCCTTGCATAGCCTTCTATTATTCTTCAGAAAAGGTGATCTGTAATTGACAATTGAATCACCTAACTTTCGAAGCTTTCTCTTTCTGGTATATGGCTTTAGACCAACACTCCTTTGTAAAAAATAATATAATGTTAAGTTTATTTTATTAGTTAAAAGTATTGATGAATTACATAAGAAAAAAATAAAACTTACTCTGACTTATTATCAATTTCCTTGTTTACTTCTCCATCATCTCCAGTCACTTCTTCCTCAACAGCCATTTGAGCCACTTCAGCCACTTCAACATTACCATTCACTTCTCCATCAACAGAAACAGTTTCAGTCATTCCAGCAATGGTGTCAATCATCACATCTTCCACTCCATCAACAGTTTCAGTCATCACATCTTGTACATCAGGAGCAGTTTCAGTCTTCGCAGCTTCTACATCCACTTTTGATGTGCCTTCACCCTGTGACATGTTAAACTCAATTCCTATGTCAAATGAAGGCATTGAAAATTTCAGGAATGCTGCTTTCTCTAGTTTCTCAAGGGCTTCCATAACTCCAGGCTCATTAAAGAAGTCATCATCTTCCTCAAGGACACACTTCTCTGATAATCGTTGAGTTCCTTTTGCTTGATTTCCATTTGCTTGATTGATGAAGTAATCAGCTGTGGTCAAGTATATCTTCTTCAAGATATCAGAATTTGGGAACTTTTTTGCAATGGTTGACGGCAACTTTGAGAATTCCACAAAAGCATCACTAAACTTTTGTGCCACAGCTATAATCTCCTTCACACAATCCTATAAAAATTATAATAATAGTTGTTTAATAATACATAAGATACATAGTTATTGAATTAAGATTACAGGCTCCTTGGAAAAATCCTATAGTTATGTAACAATTGATTTAAGTTACATAAAATAGTCTTTAAGATCACAAAGTGTTGTATTAAAATTTACCTCCTTTGACAACATTTCAGCATCTTCATTTTCTTCATCTTCTTTTCCTGCTTCCTCTTCATCTTTGTCTTCCTCTTCGACTGTTATTATTCGCTTTGTCACCTTTCCCAGACCAAAGCCCACCTTTCTCTCATCTTTGACTCTTTTGTCAATTCTCTCCTTGTCCCAGATTCTAATGGTTGGATAAGCACTCTGCATAATTTGGCCTTTGAATTGTACTCGGTCAAAGTAACATATCATTAGAAACAGTAATGGTCCACTGAACATCTTTGATTGATTAGTTTGCCATTCCTCGCCTGCATCCATCAACGATCTTATTGTGTAGTTGCACCAATTCATGTTTGGTATATCAGCTACATTAACCAAAGACATCAATATTTTAAAATTGCTGTTAACACTCTGGTTTCCTCTGATCAGGCAAGAGACTGTAAAGACCACAAAGTTTCTGATGAATCTGTCTCCAGAGTCAGTATCTGCAACTATTTTTTCAATCATTTTTTATGTTTGAGGGCTTCCTTTATCAATCCCCCATTCTTCTCTCCATTCTTTTAGCAGTTGGGTATACTCTTCAGTTTCATTCTTCGCATTCGCTTCTTGAACTTCTATCTTTCCCTTTGGCAGACCAAATACAGCTTTGACATCTTCATCTTCAATATCTAGCAGCTCACCATTGGCAAGTTGTAGCTGTCCTGAAATTGGTCTAAAGTTCTTCAACAAAAACGCAACCAAATCTCCACAGAATCTGTCAAAGTTTAAATGCAGTAATCCCCCAAATCCAATCCTTTCAACTGCTGCTTTTTTTCTTTCATCTAATTGGTTAATCAACTTTATGAAAGGGGCTGGTCCTACTCTTGTTCTTAGATTTACAGAAGGCGGACTGTTGCTTGTCTCCACTTCTTCATATTCATCGTCTGATTCTTCAGATTCTGCTTTCTTCTTTTTTGGGGCTGCTTTTCTTTTTTTGCTTGTTGTTGGCTGATGATATTCTAGCCTTAGAATCGGTTCTTCTGTGTTCAGTATCCTTGCAGTTTCATTGTGATGTTCTGTATGCTGAGTTTCATTTTCAGGAGCTACATCACTTCTTGTTCTCCTTATATTGCACATGAGTTACATTTTTGTCACACACAATTGCCATAATAGTGAAATGAAGTTACATCATTCACAATCAGATGAACAATGTCATGTGGAGCACATGAGTTACATATTTTTACACACAATTTACATAACAGTGAAAAGAAGTTACATCATTCACAATCAGATGAACTATGTCATGTGGAGCACATGAGTTACATCTTTTTACACACAATTTACATAACAGTGAAATGAAGTTACATCATTCACAATCAGATGAACAATGTCATGTGGAGCACATGAGTTACATCTTTTTACACACAATTTACATAAAATTGAAAAGAAGTTACATCATTCACAATCAGATGAACAATGTCATGTGGAGCACATGAGTTACATCTTGTCACACACAATTTACATAACAGTGAGAAGAAGTTACATCATTCACAATCAGATGAACAATGTCATGTGGAGCACATGAGTTACATCTTGTCACACACAATTTACATAACAGTGAGAAGAAGTTACATCATTCACAATCAGATGAACAATGTCACGTGGAGCACATGAGTTACATCTTTTTACACACAATTTACATAACATTGAAAAGAAGTTACATCATTCACAATCAGATGAACAATGTCATGTGGAGCACATGAGTTACATCTTGTCACACACAATTTACATAACAGTGAGAAGAAGTTACATCATTCACAATCAGATGAACAATGTCATGTGGAGCACATGAGTTACATCTTTTTACACACAATTTACATAAAATTGAAAAGAAGTTACATCATTCACAATCAGATGAACAATGTCATGTGGACTTGCTTACAATCACAGACCAAGGCAGAGGATTTATGTATTATTATACACAGGTTACATAAAATTAATAAAGTTAATCTAGTATTAGTTTCAGTGACATGCAACACTATATCACAAAAAAAATCAATGAGAAACTAAGGCATAACAAACATATTGAGGTATGCAACACTATATTACCAAAAATTGTAGTTACATCGACAAATTCCTTATTATGCTCGATGACATATGAGCATTCGCACTTTGCTTATTCAAATTGAGATCACAATAAGACATAAATCACACTATTCAATACTCAATCTCTTTCGTTTTTGAGAGTGACTTACATGCATGTTAAAATTTATAGCAAATTAGCACATGAATCATATTGTTACATTCTCAGAGATACATTTTGAACTTCAAAAAGCAAAGTACATAGTTCGTTCGGATGAAATACCTTGCAACTGTTTTGCCTTTAGACCTCGTCATTTTCTCGATCTGCAAAACGTTCTTCTTCGTTCGGATTCTTACTTTTCCTTCTTCAGAATGCACTTCGAATGGTGGAACTCTGTCTGACGGAACTTGATGGAAGCGTGAAGTCAGAAAGTTTTTCGAGAAATGTAAATAGCCAATGTCAAAAGACGCAGCTATGGGAAGAAAGACGCGCCGATTTCGAGAAGGCCGTTGTGCGCGTTTTTTTAATAGAACGACGTCGTATTGATGCGGGTGTAGCATGCTCATAATGGGCCGGTCCTATGGTATACGAACTCGAGAGTGCACAAGTAATTCTGAGCTTATCAAATAGATATTTTTGATTTCTTAAATTGAATAATCAAAATAAATAAATTTAGAATTACTCTTGTGATTGAATTGAGTGAAATTGTTGAAAAAGACTATTTTAACCAACAAGTGAGTGTTCTAGAATGCGGGAATTATCAACAGGAGGGGGAAGCTTGAACACAAGTGAAGATGCGTGGAGGAATCAGGAGGTCACCATTACAAGGAGGAAATGGAGATTGGGTACGTCCGGGCAAAAAATGGGGAAGAGGTGAACTACATTTTTCACAATACATGGGAATAAGAAAGGTTGGAGGCCTTCAGACAATTTTTCTCTTTCGCGTTTATTTATTTCATGTTAGGTACTATGTTTTTGTTGCTTTTGTGGACAGTAGCGGTAGGTTGCTAGGTTGATTTTTTATGTGTCACGATAATTTTGTGGGTGGAAGAGATAAGATTAGTATGACCGGTAAAAGCTTCGAAACTCTCACATGGTTAACGAATAGTCTCGCTCTTGGAAGCCTTGACAAGATGTTCTATTTTGTATCTAGTCAGATAGTGGGGGGGCATTTGACGTTTTGTGATTCTGGGAACCTTGTAATCGTCAATTGCTATAATATACTCCCTTCGGTCCCTATTAAAGTTCTCAGTTTGACTTCACACAGATTAAGAAAATAAATTTGACTTTACTGTGGAGTGCACTGTTTGGACACTGTTTGGCACTGTTTTGCACTGTTTTGTTTCCTACAATGGAAGTGTGAACTTAAATAAGGGACATCCCAAAAAGGAAAGTGATAACTTTAATACGGACCGGAGGGAGTAATTAGTTTTCTTAAAAAAAAACTATTACCATTGTTGAGGTTTAGTCCCGCAGATCCGAAAGCCCAACACGAACTTTAGATATATCAGGAAATGGATCAGATCAAGTGTATAGAGAAATATAAAAGATGAGTAATTGATTGCTCTAAAGCTCACTTTGTATTAAATAACTTGCTTAATTGATTACACGGGAACCTCCCGATCGATACGTCGGAGTAGTGATTAATACAAGAAACAAGAGTGATAATGCTATTCTAGAGCTTGAGTATGAAAATGTTAACCCCTTACAATGATATTAAACCCTCTATTTATACTAATGGGGGGTATGGGGTGCTCCAAGCTGATTGGTTGTTAATCCACCGACTTGAATGTCCATCCCTCTACTTGCTGATGTCGTAATCTAGTAATAAATGCTTCCTGCCACTTGTTGACTGCCCGTTGCCCGAACGGTTAATGGGCCCTGCTAGAAATATCATTGATCTGGCCCAAGTATATTGGTTGATCCGAACCCCGTTCGGTGCCTATTTCTCCAGAGGCCCGTTTATCTTCTGGATTCTGGGCATGTCTATTGGACTGGATATTATTGGGCCTTTGATTCGGGTATTGGGCATTCGGCCCAATATCTTAACACAGTCCCCCACTTCCGATGTCTCGAACGGTAGTGAGTGCATTGGGAAGTAGGACTTATACGCCAAATGGCGATCGGGACTCAGAATTCGTTGGTTCCCCATATCATAATTTGTACCTTATTTGCGGTTGTCGTTTGATTTTTTCCATAATCGTCATGATTACTGGCCCTTGATCTCTTTATTCGACGCGTGTCCTTTCAAATAGTCCAGGTGACGTGTCTCTATCTGGTTGGTCATCGATACGGCGTTTGCCAGACTATAAATTAGCTTTTAGTTCCTTAGTTCTAGGTTTCGAATTTTCAATCCTTCGTGCTATAGCTCCGCCTTCTTTCTAAACTCTTTCAAGCTTTTCGTGTTCAGGTATTTTTCATCCCTCAATTTTTTCCTTTTTCTTTGGTATGGTCGGTATGAGTCCTCAATCGCGTTCTGATTCGGAAATGGCTTCCCAAGGGGAAGACCATGATATTGATGTCGTGGATGTCATAAC